GAGCCTGCCCTGTTCCTTGGGCTGTATAGGAAATGAGTCTGGCAGCCTGGGATGGCAAATGCTCAGAATTGCTTGTTAGTGGGCAGTGTAATTAATAGGTGATTGGCATGTGACTGGAAGCTCCGTCTCGCCTGTCTCTGCTGAGCCCGGGGGGGCCCAGGTCCGCAGTGCCTGGCTCCGGCCGCTCTGTCTGCCGTGGCTCCGCAGCTCACCCTGCCTTTCCCCGCCCAGCCGCAACGACAGCACCATCACCTGCACCATGCCATCCGCGGAGCTCGCCACGGCCGTGCGAGTCTGCGTCCAGTTCGAGAACAAGTCTTGTGCCGGCTACAACATCACATTCAAGTATGAGAAGAACCCGGTTATATCAGACATCAACCCTAAAAAGAGCCAGCTCAGGTGAGAACCCTGCCCCAGGAGAGACAGTCAAGTCTGCCCGGATTTGTGCTCTTTGGGGGGGTCGTCCTCCTAATTTGCGAGAGGGAGCAGCACGCTCCGACCCCAGCGCAGAGCTGCTGGGAGTGTCCTGGTGCAGCCCGCTGCAGGCAAGGCGAGCGCGCCCGGTCCGAGCTTCCAACCGGCCGGACACAGAGTAGATGCTGAGCACCCCCGTGCTGGGAACCCCGGAGTCGTTGAAGCCCAGCCGGGAGGCCGGGTGCGGTGTCGGGGCCCTGGGCCGCGCTGTCCTGGCGTGATCACTTCCATTCCGGACCCGGCGCATGTCCACATCTGCCCGCAGAAGGAGAGGAGCAGCTCCGGGCTGGTGGGAGCGGGTCCTGCAGGGGGAAGGGGCTTCCTGAGCCCTGGGGTTTGATGGTTGCCCTGCAGACAGGCACAAAGGGGCATGCAGGGTGCTCTTGGGGGGCGTCGGGTACCCCAGCACGGGAGTGGAAGCAGTCTCACACACCAGGACTGTCCGTAGCTCGCTTCGGTGCGTTTAAGGCATGGAAAAAAGTCAGCTTGGTGATGGTGCTGTGTACACCTGGTGGGCGCTTTAGGGAGGTTCGGCGAGGGCGCTTTATGAGACCCTGAGGGTTTTTCTTGGCAGTAAAACTGCTGGAGGATAAGCTGAGATTTGTAATTTTGGGTTTCAGCGTTCCCCAAGGTCACAGTATTTAATTTTTAAAAGCGTGTTGCTTTTAATTTCGTGTCTCTCCGTGGAGCTCTCAGGCTCCTGTTCCTTTGGATACCGTGGCAAAATCCCCCCTTCCTCAGCTGCAGAGCCCGGAAAACTGCGGGCTGACCAAGACACCCGAGAGCGCAGTGCCTGCGCCTGCAGGACCGCGCTGAGAGCGGCACGCCGGGGCGCTCCGGTGGTCCCATCCTGCGGAGCAAAGCTGTGCCTCGGTGTTCCCAAGCACAGCGCCAAAGACGCGGGCTGCGGGAAAGTTAATGGCTGGGCAGAGCGGTGGCTCAGCCAGCGTCAGCTCCCAGCCGGCCCGCGAGCCGAGGCAGCGGGAGAATGTCCCTGCCCGTACTCACGAGGGACAGGGCACTTCTCTGTCACCTGAGCCTGCTTCCTTAGTATTTACAGCAGTTTCCAAGTCTCCAGCGGCTGAGAGCACGGCAGCGGTCTCTCTCTTCGGGCTGCTTGCTGGCTCCTGTAGCCCGGCTGCTCCGGCGCGTTGCGGGGCTGCTGACCACGAGGGGACAGTGACTCCTGTAAAAATTCAGCTGGATCTGATTTATCCTCCCGCATTGCTGAAATAATCAGTGTAAGCGGGGTTTAAAACAAAACACAAGTTGTAAGCTGCTCTGCAGATGTGACAGGCAGGCTGCTCGTTAGAAGCGTGGATCATTTCTGTGTGGTGATAGCCACAGTGCGGTAAAACCTGGCTGCCAGGGCCTTGGACCCAACGTCACTGTGTCTGGAGTGCTCTTCAGACAGTGGGATTCAGAAAGCCCTGCCTGTTCTGGACAGATACCCTGAGCAAAGGTGATAGGGAGGAAGGGGGAGGTAAACCCAGGGCATAGTTTCTGCTGCCCGGAGCAGGCGTGCGGCGCTGGCTCCCCACCCCTTGCTCTGCCCCGCAGCCCTGTGTGCATCAGGGCCCTCGTTACAGTCATTAATTGACTGCACACTGGGAGGCCCACGTCTCCAGGCATTCCCCAGGCAGCAGATCCAAAACACAAAGTGACTCTCACATTTTGATCTAAATCAGAAGTGTCCGGGAGGTGCAGAGGATGCCTGTCGGCCTCAAATGGGTCTCTTCCCTTTCCAAGGCTTACAGACCCCTCTGCGGGTTGCTGTGGGGCAGGGGCAGGGAATATCTTCTGGCCCTTACTTTGAGGGGTTGGAGGTAAACCTCTCACACTGCTGGTGGCCTGGGCAACCCGCTGCGCACCCCTGGCATGCAGAGGCAGGCTGCTCCTCTGCGGGGGGGCAAGGGGGACAGTTGGCTGCTGCTGGAAGAGGTCCCCCCCCTTCCACCGCAGCAGCTGCTGCTCCTCCGTCCTTCCCTGGTACCTTGGTGGCAGAGTGGGTGCTTGCTGCAAGGAGGAGGAAGACTCTGGCTGTTGGGTTACATTTTCTGCTCAAGCAGCTGGGAGACGTCCCTGGGACATGGCAGGGGGGACACCCAGCCATGGCACCTCGCTGCTCTGCGTTGTCCCCTGCAGTCACCCTCTCTGTCTCCCCTTCTCCTTGCAGCGGGGGCAGGATCATCACCCTGGAAGGAAGAGGCTTTGAGCTGGTCCAGAACGTGTCCATGGTGGTCCGTGGCATCGGCAGAGAGCAGACGGTGGGTGTCCCCGCTGGGCATCGCCCGGTACCGGGGAGCAGGGCTGCGTGCCTGCTGCCTGAAGGCGTTGGGGGCGTGAAGCTGAGGCCTGGGGCTGTGCTGGGGATTGAGCTGGGAGCAAGGCTGGGTGGGAGCACCCAGGAGGTCAGTTTTCTGATGTGCGTGCTCTCTGCTGCTTTCAGAGCTGTAAGGTTCACACCGACAGCGCCATCACCTGCCCCTCTCCAGCTGCCTCCAACGTCACCGCAGGGAGCAAGCCTGCACCCGTCGATTTCTATCTCAACGGTCGCCTCTATGCTGACGACCGTCCGGCTCTGGACGAGGAGATGTACCCCGAGGAGGCCTTGCACATCAGCAAGTTCAGCATGGAGTACTATGCCGACCCCCAGTTCTTCACAGCCAAGAAGGAGAAATGGATCAAGCACCACCCCGGCGAGCCCTTAACTCTGGTTATACACGTAAGAGAGTGGCCTCTGCAGCTCCGCTCCTCCGGGGGTGTTGCCTGCTCCCCCGGGAGGCTCTTGGGTCCTCAGCGCCAGCACAGCAACTGTCCCCAGGCGCAGGAGGGGGACGGGGGCGGATGAGGGGCAGAGCCGCACGGGAGCGGGCAGCTCTTGCTCAGCTCATGCACCTGCATCAGCCTTCAGCGGGAGGCACAGCCTGGCCTGGGGATGCCCTCTGAGGCACGGCAAGTTGAAGGATGTAATAGCCAGAAGCTAAATAAAACACTGGATGTATGAAAAAGAACGATAACGCGCTGGCCTGAAATCAGGCAGGTACTCCAGAAGGTCCTGACAATAGATGCTCATTCCTGCAGAAACAGGTCATGCATTCCTCTCTTGTGGCTGCTCAGCTCAGTTCAGAAGGAAGCGGGGTACGGCAGCTGAGGGCTGGGACAATGCGCAGTAGCAATTCAAAGGCCATTGTTCACCGCAGGATATCCTCACTGCCTGCGGAACGGTGCTCCCCCTTGCTCGGCTCTGTCGGAGCATCCCCTGGCCATCTCCCCTCTTGTACATCCTTCCCCCTCCCAGGTGGGTGCTCAGCTCCTTATCTGCGGTGCACAGACAGGGCAGATCAAAAGCCAATTTTTCCAGGTTCCACAAGGGGCTTGCTCATCCCATGCCCCATGCTGAGTCAGGAATGGGAAACAGGAAAATGGGGAATGGCCTGGTTCTGGGTTTCCTGTGGAGTGCTGGAAAAATGTCCTTGGTGAGGGAGACCCCTCCCAGGCCTGAAAACCAGCAGGGAATATGGGAAGTAAAGCAGGAAAATCCTTTGCAGTTCCGGCTGCTGCTCTAAAAACTGACATCCTGACTCTATTTTTGTCACCAGAAAGAGCCTGACAGCCTGGGCCTGGAGAGCAATGAGTACCAAGTGAAAATTGGCCTTATCTCCTGCGAGATCCAGATTGTTTCAGACAAAGTCATCCACTGCTCCGTCAATGAGTCGCTGAGCACCTCGGAAAGGCAGTTACCGGTGACGGTGAGTCCCAGGAGCCCCCACGCTGGGAGCTGGGAGCACGGGGGCCGGAGGGCTCCCTAAAAAGGCATGGAGAGGGGCTGCCCTGCTCCGAATCCGGGGGCACCATCAGCTGCCTGCTGAGTGAACGGTGCTGTGAGCTGCAGACGGGGAGATTGGGTCAGTTCTCGTAAGGCACTGTGAAATCCCAGCCATGTGAATTTTTGTCACTAGCAGTAATTTTCTTTCTGCCCCTCATGAGAGAAGTTTGGGGATTTCCATGCAGTTTTCAGCCAGCCAGCCTCTTGCTGCTGGCAGAAGAGCGGCAAGTGGACACGAGGACCTGGCCCTTGCCAAGTTCCAGTAAAGCACTGGAGATGGGTCCCTGCCCGGCAGGGCAAGGGCAGCACACGGGGCTGGAAGGCTTTGCCGTGTTTCCCAGGGGCTGCTGCTTTGTCACTGCCAAGAGTTGGGTATCCAGGGCCGTTGTTCATCTTTGGGTCTGTGGAATTCCAAGTTGCTGCCCTTTTTTCCCACCGAGGGCTTGACTCATTGCTCTTCTCACTCCCCTCATGTCACATGCAGCCCATTGCCAGGCAGGGCTGTGACCGTGGCTCTCGTGTCTGGAGAGCGAGCGCCTCCCGCGCCGTGGCCCAAGGCCCCGCTCCGGCCGGTGTGCTAGCAGCCAGGGGGCAAGGAGGAGGAGAAGGAAGGCAGCAGAGGGGCCGGGCGGGGCGGGGGGCCGTGGACTCATGCTGCCCAGAGGAAAGGTGCAGAGATGGGGCACCAGTTCACTGGCAGGGCTGCCCAGTTTGCTGGTTATGGTCTGTGGTGTGTGAATTCCGTTGCAAACTGGAAAGGTGGAGATGCAGAAGTAGCAGAATTTCCTGTCGTTTTAATGGAAATTTTAAACAGGGTAATTTTGGGTTTAGTGAGAACTGAGAAGCAGGGAAATCCCTTTGGGGAAGACAAGGAATTTATGAGCTTCCTCGTTTTGGTTTGACATAAAACATTGAGAGCAATGCCCCGGCAGGTCCCGAGGAAGCAGAACGATACCCGGCCCAAAGCATCGCGTAGCTGCTAAGGGCGCCCCGGCAGCGAGAGCGCGGCTGAATGATCGCCCTGCGTGCCCGTCTGCGCACTCGGCAAACCCTGGTGCCTGCCCGGGGTTGTAACGGGCTGGTGACAGCTCCGGCAGCGCGGGGCGGACTTGTGCCGCAGTCCCTACCTGACCTGCGTCCGGGGCGACGATCGACTGGGGGCTGTGGGAGCCTCCCCTGCCAAGGCAAATCCTCTCTTCTGGGGAGCTGAAATGCCCCGTGCTGTGACTGCCCCGTTTGTTCTTGCTTGGATGATCGAGCTTGCGTCTGCAGGGATGGGAGCACGGGCAAGCAGCCCTTTAAAACGTGTCCCACTCTTGGTCTTTGTTCTGCCCGTGACTCGGGGTCTGTGCAGGTGTTAGCAAGTCGCCCAGGGCAGCAGAAGCTGTAGAGAGGAGGGTGGTGAAGATGGGGCTCCCCAGCACCCTGTGTCTTGGGGGGCCCCTTGGCGTAGCTCTTTTGGGAGTGGCTTAGGTGAGCTGGAGCTTGGTTCTGGCCTGGTTTAGTCCCAATGGGTCCCCGTTCCCACCCTGGGAGGCTGCAAGACAGCTCCATCCCAATAGCCAGACCGCGGTTCCCAGTGACCCCCGTGGGTCCCCGTGCCTCAGGAGCCCTGCCCAGCCCCGACCCCTCTTCCCAGGAGCGGGGTGTCCTCTGGCCCCTGCTGCACCCCACGTGCTGGTGACGGGAAGTGTTCCCATTTCACCTGCAGCCTAATTAATTCCCTTTGCAAAAAATTGTATTGAGTAGACCTGTCCAAATAAACAAGAGACGCTTGCCGAAGCCTTCAAACCCATTTTTGTGCATGACCAAACCATTTAAACACTGAATTAAACAGCAAGCATGGGATTTCTCCTCTGACAAACGCAAAAGGTTGAGTTGGTGGGGAAAAAAAAAAAAAGACTGAAACCGCATCGAGGACTTGTCTCATCGCAGCGTTTCAGACGGAAGAGGTGGAAGCGTTGAGGCGAGGCAGGGTGTGGTGCAGGCTGTAAAATAACCTTCGCAGCCTTCCCTGTCCCCATCCAGCACCTCGGCTGCCAGCGGTGCCTGCTGGGTGGGAGACCGAAGCTCGTAGCGTTGGGTGCTAAGTGCCTGGAGGCACCACCCCAGAAACCATCAGCATCCCTCTGAGGGCTGGGACCAGGGCATGCTGGGGCTGGGAGCCACAGGAGCCTGGCCCTGAGGTCCAGCACTGGTGGCTGGAGGTGCAGAAGGTTGTCCTGACCCCAGGTGACGGCAGCCGGCGTTGCCTGCGGCTGGGCGGTCCTTCCTCTCCTGCCTGTGGAGGGAGCAGCGCCGGGATGGACCTCCAGGCTTCTCCAGGCGCCTTCAGCTGGCAGCATCGGTGCCCTCACCGGTGCTCCAGGAGCAAGGGCTTGGATTTCCTGGTGGGCAGGAGCTGTGCACTACGTGGTGTTCGATGCACAGCTGTGGTGGGAAGGCCCCGCTGGTGGCACTGCTTTGGCCCAGGTGCTGACTGCAGTTTAGCCTCAGCGTGTGCCTTTCCCGGAGGCACTCTGTCACACAGATGTAGTCATAAGATTATTCCATCTCTTCCCTACCTCATTTCAGGGTGGTTTTTTTTTTTGCTCAAGTTTCTCTTGCTTCTCATTCCTTAAGAGAAGTGAAACTCGCATTTCCAGAATCCGAGGAGGACTTGTGTGGTCATGAGTTTTCCTTATCAGATGATGCTGTTGAACCCTTTCATCCCAGGGGCCTAGAGAGCCGTTTATAACCAGCGCCGGGTAAACTCGCCGGCTCGTCTGTGATGTGCGTTGGCCTCTTCCCTTCTGGTGATCAGGAGACCGAAGGACTGAGCTCAAGTGGTTTGTGCTTGGGGTCACAAGAAGCAGGGGTTGGGAGCAGAGCCAGCACCTCCTGACACCCGGTCCACTGCTTTACCTGCGAGACCATTACTGGTCTCTGGTCTCGTTATTATTTATTTTTATTCCCTTACTTTATTTGTATTTCAAAGACTTTAAAGTTCCTTTACCTTCCTTCTCCTGAGTGGCAGCAGTTCTGCTTCTGGAGGGGAACGGGGAGTGCAGCTGGGATTCAGAGGCCATTCAGAGCATGATGATGTCGGGTGATTAATGGAAGTGGTTTTCTAGTACAAGTGGTGCAGGCAGTACTGTACGGTGGGGTGAGCCCTCTAAGGAAGGGTTGTCCTGTGCTCTGGGGTGGGTATGGTGGGGCCGTGATGTGGGCTGGAGATTGTGGCTCTGCCACTGAAGGCCCGTGGTGGCCCAAGGATGGGCAGCATCGCGGTACCACCCTGCTTCCCACCAGGGCACGCAGGAAGGGAACGGGGCTGCTCCAAGGCACACACAGTCCCCAGGGTCCAGCAGAGAAAGGCACGGCACGGCTTCCCCGCAGTGGTCAGAACGTCCTTGGGCAAGGGTCTGCCGAGCGCTGCCCCGATGTCCCCCCTTGCCCGACCTCTGGGACTCTCGGCAACGCGCTGCTCAGCTCCTGCTTTTCCTCCCTCCTCCTCCCTCTCTAGATCCAAGTTGGGAAGTTCAACTACACGGTTGCGATGCTTCACCTTGGGGGAGGAGAGACTGCAATCATCGTTTCCATTGTCATCTGCAGCATCCTGCTGGTCCTCTCTGTCGTCGGTAAGGGAACAGAATGACGAGTTGCCAGGCTGTGCCAAGGTTTTTTTCTCATTGCATGTGGAGGGGTGAAGACGCATCATCCATGGGTTAGGAAACCTCTGGGTGCTGCCGTGGTGTGGTATCTGAAACTGGCCTGGGTGCAGCAAGTATCTGCTCTGCTTTGTAGAGGACCAAGCCGGTACGCAGGATCAAAGCTTCCTGCAGCACGGAGCGTTTGCAGGCTCAATCCATAGCTCAGCTCCGTTGCCTGAGCCTGTGATATTTATAAACTTACCCTTTTTGCCCAACCCCCTAGTGGCTACTGTAATACAAAATAGAGAAGGGTGTGGGAGATTGGTCTTGGACTCATGCTGACTTGAACAGGGCTCACTCACGGGCATGACTGCCCTGGACCATCCCCAAGGTCCACCCAGCCCAGGGTCCTGTCCTTGGTGACAGCCAGTGACAGGCGCCGGGCAGAGCGTGAAGGACGGGGCGAGCATCCTTCGCTGCGGGTCTGGAGCAGGCACCGCAGTCGCTAGCCTCACTGGACGCCGTGCAGCGCTCCTCTGTCCCCTGCCTGGGGTATCTTCTCGCTGCGTGCCCAGAACGACTGCGGCAAGAGCCCTGTCGGGTCACAGCAAGGGAGGTGTTTCCAATAGGGAGTTAATCCGTTTTTAAAAAGGTTATAACGCACACTATTTATTGCATGCACCACCTGTCATTAGAAATGTATTCCCTGGAGGCATGGGAAGACTGTCAGGCATGAACGCCGTCATACAGGTGTAAACGTCCTAAAATCTGTGTGCATCAATCAGCTGGAACACTGATACGCAGTTAAGGTGCATGCAGACAGCCCAGGCCTGAGCCGAGGGTGACAGTTACAGCACGGTCGTTAAATTCCAGCTGGTTTTACTTATTCACAGGGAATCGACAGCTGCCTGATCAGAGACCAGGCTTGCTGCAGGCGTTAGACCAACTCTTAAGTGCAGCTTTCTGTGCTTGTGGCAGCAGAGGCCCGTGCTGATCCCGGCTGCGGCTGCTCCTGAGCCCCATCCCAAAGGCTCCTTCCCTTCCTCTTTTTCAGCACTCTTTGTGTTCTGCACAAAGAGCCGCAGAGCGGAGCGCTACTGGCAGAAAACCCTGCTCCAGATGGAGGAGATGGAGTCGCAGATCCGGGAGGAAATCCGCAAAGGTGAGGCACCGAGCTGGGCGCCGGGGAGGAGCCGAGAAGGGAGGGAGATGCCGGCAGGGCAGGGGTGAAGCCATTCGCCTTCTGCTCCATAGAATTTTATAGAATTACTTATGGGAGAAATTCTGTCATCACCTTTGAGCTCTGGCAGGGTTTGTGAATGGGGCTGGGTGGCTGGGAGCGT